TTCAGGGATATTGATTCTCTCATTCTGTTCCAATGTATTTGGGACATTTCCGTTGGCAAATTATGGTTTTAAGGGTTTTTGTTGATTTGTTAAAGGATCCAAAGCTCATCAGGCTTTGGACATACAACTCTGTAAACTTAACTATATCACAAGACTGCTGTGAAAAGTAGACAGTTATTTGAAACCATTCTGAAGACCCAAATCTGTACATCAAACTTATTACCCAGTAGACAATATAATTTGAGTGGACCATACTGTAGTCTAAGGCATTCATTAAAATAACTGAAGAGAAAGTCATCACCTCCACCTAAGTAGGTATCATTTTCAAAACAGATGTGCTAGTACTGACATAACACAGTGCTATCATTCAGTCATTTTTCAACTTTAATAACTCGTAATAAAATATTTGTAGGCAGCTTCATATATAGAAATGAAACTAACAGAACAGTAAAGGGTGAAGTAACTGGAATTGTAGATGCATAACATAGGAAACCTCATTCTTATTCAGCTGCAAAGAAAGCTGCTGCACATTGTTTGGAAAGCAATATGAACCAGAGAAAATATATCTATGGCTAGGCTATGATGACCCATAATGAAGACCTATGAAAAGTTACTCTTTTTCAGTCAACTTGTAAAATATTTCAAATTAGCATTTTACTACCTGGGCTTAAAAAAATGTTGGCACTGGAAAGTGATTATAGGACAGAAACCACGTTATTTGCTGAGTCAAGAGATTAACTGAAAAGGTGTTTGATTTATTAAAATATTTTCAGACATTTTCCCCTGTAAATCTGGGGATTGGAGACTTTTTGATCGCTATTCAAATGAACTGACGTACAATTATTTTCACGCTCTGTTCTGATACAATTGTCACAGTAACAGCAGTTTAGTTAGTATTACAGTTTACTAAACCTATCAAAAATATAATTTATTAACCAACATGTACAATAAATTGCACCACTGACTTTAATTTAAACATCTATCAAAACTCTAATTTTCCCACAAGTTGACATTTGGATAAGACAATGCAGAAGCTATACGTTATACTTTAAAAACATACATGGAACAAGCTCAGCTGTTGTCCAAACTTGAATAGCAACTTGACACAACAAAAGATAGGCAAAAGTGCAGAAGAAAAAAAAATGGAAACCTCACAGGAACCTTGTCATTTCCTTCCAAAAACATTTGAACTCACAGGTTTGTAATTTAAAAAAAAAGTTGAACTCAGAGGTTCAAGCTACTTAGCAGTTTCAAACACAAACCAGTTATAACCTTATATTTTTAATGACTTGAGTGGTGATATCTTTTATTAGTATTAAGATAAAAAAAGAAGAAAAGCCCCAGCTCTCTCAAGCAATACAACAATGGGAAAACAGTCTTCTCTCTCTAGTCAATTAAATCTTGATCCAGCTCCTCCTGACATTCAGGGAAAGATTCCTAGTCCCTTCAATAGCATCAAATCCTTAACTGCAATTATTTATTGTGTCATATTGTTTCCTAGATAACTACATACGAAAATCAAACCAACTAACTAATACTGGATTGCCAGTAAAACCTGAACATATTGTTAATAACACTGGGGGAAAACAACAAGTTTTCCTCTATCCCTCTATAATGCTAGAGGAGGAGATTCAGCAAGGTTAGATAATAAGCCAGCACGATACTAAAGAACAGGCCTTCTCCGTTAAGGCCTGATATACTCACACTGAAATTAGTGGAAATTTTGTCATTAAATTTAATGGGATAAATATATGTCTCATAGTGAGTCATGTGCAATCCTTGCTTGATATTCATATTTATTCCTTTTTTTCCCTCCATCAAGGAGATTTTTTTTACATTCTGATCTGGCGATCAGAAGTGCCGAGCCCAGTGTAAAGGACTGCAAGAAAACACATCATCCAGTACAGAAATGCTCAAACTGTGCAGGCATACTATACTACAAAAAGATGACTGACTGGAATGCTTTATCGAAAGCCATGGATTCCCCTTTTACTCAGTGACTGAACTGTCTTCACTGAAAGATCAGCAACCAGCATCTGCAGGCTTGCAAGATGAACACGTTCACTTCACGTGAGCTAGGATTTATGTTTATATTCCGACATGTGCCATTGTAACTTTCATGTATTCTACATTTAACATGAGAAACAACCATTTTTCCAAGTAGTATTAGCTAAAATATTCTTCCCTGCTTTTTTGAAGGTATTAGCATATTTGACTATATAGTTATCCTAACAGACAAAAAACACACAGAAAAGGGAAAATCCTACAAAATATTTAGAAGCAGTGATAAACAAATTATACTGGGAACAACTAATGATAGAACCAGGTTGTGTGAAGATCAGGAGGGTCATCTCAGCCCACTTGATCTAGACTGGGAACACCATGCAACTGAAGCTGAGCTAGAAAACCCATGTCATTCAAGAGAGAGGCCACAAAAGTGGGAAATTCTACTATAAAATTGGTGGCTTACAATCGAACCAACAATATAACTTGTGCTCTCTGAGTATGCATAGCTTAGTCTTCAAACTGTCCAGTTTGAAACATGACTGAAGACATACATGGAAATGAGGGGAAAAAAAAGACAAAGCAGGGGTGTTAATTATAACACCCAAATGTAGCTGAATATAAACATGAATTTAAGGTATTTTTTCAGTCCATATCAGCTTCAGCTTCTTACAGAGTCTGCTTGTATTATGCTGGATTGCACTTGCTAACAAAAAGAGATTGATTAAATCAATAAAACTTCGTAATTCACACCTTTCGGTAAATTATGGGAACAATAATAAGCTCTCTTCTTACGTGATCCATACTAAATCAGAACAACACTATCTTTGCTTAAAAAGGTTCTTCCAAATCTGTGCTTTTAACACTGAGAAGAGAAAATCAACCAGTCAACCCAATATAAAATCCCCAGTATAAAGAAAAATGTAAAAGAGGAAACAATCATTTCTTTTCCTGATCTATTAAAGCATAGAACCAGGAACAGTCAGTTTCAATTCCATAGTGGTTATACTGTCAAAACATTTTTCAATGTTGTCTTTCAGTCCACTAGTACTTTAAGGAAAGCAAGTGCTTGGAAACAACAGTTCTGAATTTCAAATGAGAATGTTGCATGCATTCCCTTCTGAAAAAGAATATCTTTTATGCCGGGATTGATACATTCTAGGTCTATTTTAAAGCTATATAATACCACACACACCATTGAGTGGCCAATTAAATAGTGCAATATGTCTACATATGCATAGTGCCAGCTATGAAACACATAAGAATCTGTGACAGGCTTCTGAATTTTCACACTATGATTTTCTGACTGGGAGATACTCTGAACTTAGGAAACTTACAATTCAAACTTGTATTGTCCTGCAGAATTGAAGAAAAGCTCAGCACCCACTTTGCTGCCTTTGTACTGATCCCCAATAACTGGGGCAACATGTTTGAAATCCCAGAATTGAGATTTACAAGACAAACTAACGAAAGGATACAGGAGAAGAAATCCGACAGCACAGAGGATATTTGGACATGGGTTCATTTCCCACTGGAATGTGGATCTGTCAAAAGAGCTTTATTATAGAAAGTTCCATTTATGAAGAACTGTGGGTGATATTAGCACTTTTTAAAGCATACGTCTTCTGATTTATGGCAGCAACTTCATCTCCAAGAAAAGTTGTGCACCTTAAATAATAGATACAATCTACCTTCAAGTCCTGCCCTCCAAAATTACCCTTTTAGGAAAGTTTGAAAAGCTTGGGATGCTCCATTCATTTGAACAGTCCACAGCAAGGCTGCAGCAGAAACAGATACTTGTTTTGTAACAGCAAAGCATTTTAAAGTGCCACTCTTCCCTCCCCTCTGCATATACTAATACGTTACCAAGTATGTTTCTTTATCTTGCCATTTTTATATCAAATTGTTCCATTCAGATCTATTTCAGCATGTAACTACTGTACGACAAAGAACATTGTGTTAAGTCTCTAAGTAAGTTATGGTTTACAAACTAAACTAATCATGAACACAGTGTATTAGCAGACCAGACGGACTACATTTTATACTATTTTAGTTTAAAATTAAAAATATAAATCACAGACATTTTGGGCATGTTTCTTCCTTTTGTACTGTAGTTGTAATGAGAATATTCCAACATCAAATGACCCTCCCCCAACTAAGATTGCAATAAACGGGGTTTTGAGTTACGCTTGCCATAAAGATGCTAAAAAGCACACGGCAGATCTTTTATAAAGATATGTGTTTATGTTTTTTCTCATAGTCCTCTGATGTTAAGGTACTTGACTGAAGCCGTTTTGGAAATCAGTCAAACTTTGAACCCAGAGATATAGGGGCCAGCTCTCAGCAAGATTACAGGACCCACTGTTCACCTCTCAAATTACTCCAGGATTTTCCTCAGTCGACAGCAAATATATATGGATAACTGTGTATGTAACCTTCAGATTTTTCATGAAAGATTAAAGCTATTTTCAAATCAAATCAGTGTAATACTCAAAGATACTGATCTCCTAGAACCCGCTAGAGCAGTTCTATGAAGCCTTCACTTCAAAAGAGAGCAGATTTTTCCCTACTAACCCTGGTACTCCAAGAGAGGCTGTGTCGTAAAATGATGTCTACAAGGAGGGTACTGCTTTTAATAGGTAGATTTGAACATGTCAGTCAGCTGCAAAGGCTGAATATACTGCCATAAGAGTTCTTTGATAAGGAAACTACTGAGGAGAGTGGGGGCAGCGAAGAGAAAATGGCACACAAATTTAACTGGGGTCCTTAAAATGCTGCTTCCCCTCTGTTAATGTATACCTATAATCCTGGTTTTACTGGGAGAAATGTAAAAGGAACAAATGAAAACTGGGCTGCCAAACTGGAGATGTATTCTGTAAATTATATGTTCATCTAACATAGTCCAAGAAGCTAACACACCTTTAAGTAACACCAAGTATCAACCTATGTAGATCCACAAGTAAAAAACACTAAAAAATATACCGGAGACAGAGCCCTTGAATTAGTTGATTTATATGTTGTCTTAGAGGAGAGCAAAGGTGTTAATACTTGTGAAATCTTGATCATTACATTTTCAAGTTTTTGCATTTCATCCAAAATTACAGGGCACGACTTAAATGCCTCTTAGTGTTCCTGAATGAGCATTTCTGCTATTTTGGAGTATGCACACATGTACACAAACATACAGTATTCCAGTACCAATGGGATACACAGTCTAATGCAGCTTTAAGCTGGCAATGCTCCGGAGTAGCTTTAAGTATTTATCAACTCAGTAGGTCAAAAGTCTGCAGACACTGGGTGGAGCAGCAGTATGCCACAAAACTAACAGTTCTCCGCCTGGAAAAAAAAAGAGACGATAGAAAAAACAGTTGTCAGTTCAGGTCTGAAATAACTGGCCACTTTTCACAGCAGACAATTTTTTGGACTGTAAAATTAAAGGATAAATCCTGGCCAACTACCTAAAAAGAAGATTTGTATTTCTGATTTGTGAAAACAGCAAGAGGTTTTTCTTTCTGAACAGTGTGTTGAGGAGTGTTACTGCCAGTAGGTTTAATGGTTAAGAGAAAATATCTGGAGAACCTTTGATTCAGTTTCTCTCATGTTTAGATTACTGCTTGGAGGCATGAAACAACTGAAATCTGTCAGCCAACAGTAAATTTCATCAAGTCTATAAGAAATCAAAATGAAAAAAGCGATCAGAACTCCAAAGAGGCTTTGCTGTCATGTTCTGCTAGGTGCTATACACAGCACAAGTCCACATAAAGGGACAATTTCATTTCCTTCAATTGAAACACTCCACCCATAACCTCACCATGACCTGTCTTCTTGCTTAGGTAACACAGAAGTCTGCGTTTTAATTTACAAAACCAAGACTGACACTTAGCCTGTGTTATTGTAAGGATACAGATTTACATAGTCCCTTATACCTGGAAACTCAATCCACCTTTTCTCAGTACTCTTTTCTCCAACTGCCAATCCATTATATCTTGGAAGCAAATAAATGCTAATTTCCCGACAAAGGAAAATGATATAGATAACCTGAACAAAAATTGCTGAACTAAGCTGAAGTACTATCACCAGGCTTGTCCACCCTATCAACAGTCTGTCAACAGACACCTGCTATACCTGGAAACATCTGTCCTCATTGTAATAGAACTTGTGGTTCAAGGATCGGCCTTATCAGCCACCCAAGGATCTACAACTCCCATGGAAGATGAGCATACTCAGCCATGAGTGATGGCCATCACCCACTCCACCCTATGTTTTATGTTCCACATGGACAAGGTAAGCGTTTTAGGATAAAGATCTTGGCTTTCCATATCTCTTTAAAGCACCTACCACAGTAGTGGTATTAAATAATAATGCATTTATGGCATTACATAAATAATATTACCATCCCAAGCAAGTATGCTGCAAAGCTAAGAACACCAGATCATCATCAAGTCTGAATTTCTGTGGATTTGTATATCATAATTTTACCAGATCTGAAAGTTGTGTGGTTGAATATTCTATGACGACCCATTCTGGACCCAGGAAGGTGATGGGTATGCATACGCTATAATACTTGAAAATTTTAGCTAAAAGTGAAAAATGGGTAGTGATGTCTATTTTACATGAAACAGTGTTAATCTATATCTACAAAAACAAGGCAGTGTCCTAGGACTCCTCATTGTTAAATGAACTAGGTATTTTAGAGTCTCAGCATAGCAACCTAAGGAATTAGCACACTGAATCATAGCAAAACTTAATGTGGGGGAAAATATGATATTGTTTTTAACATTTACAACAATAATATCTTCCTGGAATAGACTCTGCCTGGCAAGTTTCAGCACAGTAAGAATGTTAACAATCCCTGGAAAAAAGGGTTTGTATTGGAGGCATACACTGACCTTTAAGCATAGTTTTTTTTAAACAACCATAAAAATTAGGTCTCTTCCATCTCTTTAGGAATCTAGCCATCTTCTGCCACTGTAAAATCATTGCATACAATATAAAGCTCAGTGGTTTGTCCACTCTAATTTTGGATGTTCCAAGAAAATAAATGTCTATCATTTGCTTAAGAAACTATACAGCATACTAACATATTTTGCTGCTTGGAAAAAACTCCTGACAGCTTGAATATTTTTTTCTTCATTTCTTCCCATTATATCTTGTTATAACCTCTTACGCTGCTTCAGTTTAAACATCTGACAGTCAGAATTGCCACGGAACAGCAAGTTGAAGAGCACTGTCTTTACAATCGCAA